ACGTCTTGTGTTCATTTACAGAGGTAGTGTTCATGTGTGGTGTAGGTTTAGGGGAGATTTTAGGCTGGATAAGTCATGCGTCAGACTAGATGAGAATACTGCGTCAGGCTAAATGAGAATCCTGCGTCAGGCTAAATGAGAATCATGCGTCTGACTAAATTATAATCATGCGTCAGGATAACGACCACAATACCCTAACGCTAACCTAGATCTGAACAGGTCCTAGGAAATCTAAAACTGTCTCAATGTTGACAGAACATACTTGACCAGCGTCCAGTGACCTTGACCATGGAGCCCACGGTCAAGGTCATGTTTGCTTCGCATGCTTGAACACGCGTCCTCTGGTCCTTCCTGTAGGCCCATTGCGCATGTCAGCGCCATTAACCAAACAAGGATAAGTGAGGCAAAAATCTGGCCACTTAGATCAAGTACCCCAAGAGCCACGGTACCCCCTCCCCATAAGCCACTCCACCCCCGGGCTCGCTAATTCTGATTACGTCTTACCCTATACTGGAGGGCCTGAAGCACACGCAATCACAGAAAACTGACTTGAACTTTGAACTTTGTCCAACCTGCCTCGGCTAACGAAATCAATAAACGTATTACGTTTGTTACAATTTGATTTATACGGATACCTCTCACAGTCAACACTCGCTAACCACGTAGATAATTACAGATATAATTATCTGATACAATGTCTGGGAAAAAATCTTAGTTTAAATAGATTTATTAGATGAAATATTTGTTTAAAATTTAATTTAAAAAATAATTTATAATCCGAAAATTGAAATATTTTACTTGTATTTCTTGTTAAGAAGCATAAAATCAATTCAGGAGACCACATGTATTAACGCTAAATAAATTGTGTCGACCCAAGTTTGTTTAGAACGAATATCCCGCTATAAATCATATGTCTAAAATTTCAAACACAGTGGAGTAGACTGAATATAATTTACTATTTTAATACCGACTACAATGAAACGAAAGGCTTGGATTTAGCAATATTTATTACCCCTGATTTTAGACATCAGAACCCACAGGTCCAGATAGTCCGGCTTTGGTTTATTGACCAACCAGATTAACCCCGGCCGGTTAACCCCCCTGATCTAATGAACCAGCAATGATTTTATTGTAAATCTGTCATAACGCCGACCAAGATCCGTCATTATTTTCCAGTTTCTCGGATTGCTCTCCCTTTGTTTTATTGCCCCTGCCTAGATTGCAAAAAGACCGCGAGCTCAAACGTCATAAAAACGCCTGCTCGCAGCCAATGCAAATAATATCCTCATTTTCAAGAGCTGATTAACTCCAAGATCGAATGAAAGAAACCGTTGAGATGGACATTACGATGATTTTCTTTTGAAGCCGAACATTGGAATTGGATTTGGAAATACACTGGGGAAAATTAGTTTGCTTTTTCTTTGAACTCGTTTTCTATTTGCTTTAGAGGTTAATCGAGACAATCATTAAAACAATGAGACGAAAGAGGCCGTCTTAGATTAGAGAGAGAAAAATGGCGGAGGTCACGTGACAGTAGGAGCTAATAACATCGCAACCCTTTTCGAGCAATTATTTGAGAACCGGTTATTCTAAATTCTAAATTTATTCAGAGAGAGAATGCTCAGCAATAATAGTAAAATAGGACTAAATTATATATTGGTCTGCATATATATATATATATATATATATATATATATATATATATATATATATATATATATATATATATATATATATATATATATATATATATATATATATATGTATAAGTAGAACAAACATAAATAAATATATTTTATTAAGTAAAGAGCTAGTTTCCAAAGAAAAAGCCCACCAATAGCCTAATGGATGTACTGCTATGGATATTTAATGAGATGGTTATTAAGGCCACACACTTGATATAACTCCTTTGTCCGATTGTCCAAAATCTCTACTTCCCTCCCCCTGTTCCCTAAGGCTCATTAGCATTCCAGCCCTCCCCAGCACCGCTCACGCTGACCCTGCTCTAGATATCCTCTCCATACAACGTTACGTGCAGACGACGGTGCAGTGTTCACGTTGGTGAGTTGTGTTTCCTGTCGTCCGCTGGACATAGATGACCATGACATGCAGCGTGCCAGACGTGTGTCCAACAAAAACTGTCTCAGACGGCCAGCTCATGTCCTGGCCATTGGCCAGCTCATGTCCTGGCCAGCGGCCCAGTCTACAGCTTTAGTTGCTGGAATTTATGGCCAATTGATTGATTTGATCTCTTATTGAGGGAGATAAAGTTTGTCTTAGCTTTGTTAGGCGTAGACTGGACACTTTAAGCTTGGCTCTGTTAGGCGTAGACTGGACACTTTAGGCATGGCTTTGTTAAGCTTTAAGTGGATACAGTGGGCAGAGGTCTGGAGATCGGCAAGTCCACTTGAAGAGCTCAATTCTGGGACTTGATTAGAAATATTGCTCAGAAAGACGGGGGATGGGTGATCAGACGGTCACTTTGATGTGAGGGGTGTCTAGAATAGACCATCAATATTGTGAGGGGTGTCTACAGTAGACCATCACTTTGATCTGTGGGGTAGCTAGACCAGTGTATCACTTGAAGGTGAGGTGTATCTGATAGGTGTCTTACCATTGAGATATTATGAGGGTCTCGACAAATATTTTAAAACCCTGCCGATCCTTCGTTGCTAGTTTATCATTTTGATTAGGATCAGTTTAACGAGACGGATGATATGTTGTTTAAAGACAGAAAAGGATTAACGTTAAAATACTGCACGGACGTGACCAATGGAAGACTTAAATCCCTGGGTACTGGGATCGAATCTAGACAATGTCACTTGCTTCAACTGACGAATATATTTTCAAAGTCACAGACACTCACTAGATAACTAACAATAAACTTTGTTTATGGGAGTCTATCAACAGGGGGGGGGGGGGGGGTGTATATCAACAAAGAGGTGTGTGTCTATCAACTGGAAGGGGTGTGTCTATCAACGAGGAGGGGTGTGTCTATCAACAGGAAGGGGTGTGTCTATCAACATCGGGGGCGGGGGGAGGTGGAATCAAGTTGAACTCTGTTTTTAACAACACTGGTCTAAAATTACGGTCAATTAATCGCCTGCGGTGGTAAGTGATTGCCGTTGTTATTGAACTATCGATCTATACAATCACGAGGCACAACACAGACGGTGCGGATGGAGCAAGCCATGGTGTCCTGATATTGTCCTGGTGTTCTAATAATGTCCTGGTGTCCTAATAATGTCCTGGTGTCCTAATAATGTCCTGGTGTCCTGATATTGTCCTGGTGTCCTAATAATGTCCTGTTGTCTTAATGTCCTGGTGTTCTAATAATGTCCTGGAGTCCTAATAATGTCCTGTTGTCCTGATATTGTCCTGGTGTCCTAATAATGTCCTGTTGTCTTAATGTCCTGGTGTCCTGGTAATGTCCTGGTGTCCTAATAATGTCCTGTTGTCCTGATATTGTCCTGGTGTCCTAATAATGTCCTGTTGTCTTAATGTCATGGTGTCCTAATAATGTCCTGGTGTCTTAATGTCCCGGTGTTCTAATAATGTCCTGGTGTCTTAATAATTTCCTGGTGACCTAATAATGTCCTGGTGTCCTGATAATGTGCTGATGTCCTAATAATGTCCTGTTGTCCTAATAATGTCCTGATGTTCTAAGAATGTCCTGGTGTCCTGATAATGTCCTGTTAAAAGGACACCGTATTTCCGGCGGGTAAAAAAAAGTCACATATTAACAAGTTCTGATTACATAATTGTACACCAACTCGCCGACATGTTTATTTGATATTAATGCACTTCTTCGTTTCCAATGTTTAAATCTATCCAACTGCACCAGCCTAGCAGGGGTTGGGTTTGCCGATTAAATAACACCGGAATTCATTAGCCTCACATTGATTAAACCCATTACTCCATACCGTTTTTATTTCAATTGTATGCACAGTCGCATGCTGCAAATATCAGAAGTGTAATGGAATAATATGGAATTCTACTAGTCAAAACACGGGACGATCTTTGTGTTAAGACCTAGTCATGTTGGGATTAGAATTGGATGGGGGATGGCATCAGCGCCTGGTGGGTCAAACAACAATGATACTTGTTTTATATGGAGTGTATTATTTTGTACTCAACGTGCAATTATTTAACAGAGGGTAGTTTGTATGTATGCACTTGAGTTTTCCCAGCAAAGTAGATGGCAAACGTCTAGATCTTGCACTTTAAAATCATTCTGAGCTGAATTAATATTTATTACGCAGTAGTTTGCAATTTGGTAAAAATAAATATTCTGTAAACATCGACATTTTAAAAAAAATGTTTAGTTAAACTTTTTAAAATTCTCACTTCCAAACAATACAATCTACTTCATTGGCGGTGTCCGGTACGAAAATCCTGGAGATTTTGTCAAGTAACTGAGGAAATGTCTTTCGAAAAATCCTGGCCATGAATATTGATCAGTTGTGTAAAATAAGTATCGATTTTCCTGTTGAACACGCACTTGGCGCTGTTCCGCCTAAACGGCCTGGTAAGGATACATGACACCGCCTGTAGATGCTTTAAAATAACAACTAACAGTGTTTTCAGCGTGAGAAGAGATGTGAGATGGCAGCCGTAGCTGAAGCCGTAGCTCGGAGCTGTAGCCTGAGCTAGAAGCCGGGGTTTTGATTAGAAAGAAAAGTAGAGAATATCTCCAAGGAAAAGCTTTGATGGGATTTGTATCGTTTACAGAGTAAAATTGTGGAGATTATTGAACAAAGTTTGAGCTTTTAAAACAAGAAAATTGACTTGAACGGATGAGTTAAGGAGGCTGAGCTAAATTTATTTCGACATAAGAAAATTGAGTTCATTAAACTTATTGTGATTTAAAACATTGAGTTAATCTCGGTATAAGTTAAGAAATTGAGTTAAACTTATTTTGCGTTAAGAACTAGAGCTGAGCTATGGGTTTATAAATAGAGTTAAATGACTAAGAGCTAAGAAAATTGAGCTAAACTTACTTCGAGTTGGTGCAGTCGTCATAGAGCGTGTCAAACTCCGAGCAGGAGATGAGCTTACACCTGTTGACCCCGGGCTGTATCGCCCCCAGTCCCCGCAGGATTCGAACCTGCTCGACGTTGCAGACGACGGGCGTGATCTCCAGCCGTTTGAGCTTGGTATACACCGTGTGCAGGCCGCCGACCAGGTGCTTGAGGAACAGCTCGAAGGCTTGGGGCAGACAGATCAGCTCCCTGCTCTCCACGATGAAGGCCGCCACCTGGGCGCCCCTGTAGTCAATGAGCTTGCAGACGTTGTGCTCGGGGTTGCAGGCCATGGGGGGCGGGGAGCTGTAGCTGGACGGCTTCAGACCAGATTTGGGCGTCTGGATGAGGTTCAGGGCGTTGAGTCCAGAGCTGAGGGGCGGTGCGGAGAGGTTGGTCGGGGTGGTGCTGGCGCTCCCCGGCCGTGGGGAGGCTCGGTTGTGGGGCGGGCTGCCCTTGGACGGGGATAGGTGAGAGCCGGAGAGGTCGCGACCTTGAAGGGAGAGGCCGAGGGCGGTGGTGCCGTCCAGTCCATTGGCCGTCAGAGGGAGCGACGACATGCTGGCATGAGCCCGTAGAAAGTCCAGACCTGTGAAGATAGAGATCAGATTTAGTCCAGCAAGCTAAAGTTTTATGCGAATAAATATGGCATTTTAAATATTTAGATGTTAGATGTTGCATTATGTTTCATAGCGAGCAATTAGTAGAAAATGTGTACAAAATTTGTACAATTATGTGATGTTGCATTTTTCATTTTATGTTTCAAATTTTTAATACAATTAAAAGTAGTTAATTAATTTGATTTGATTAAGTATTAGAAATCGTTAGGATTATAAGTTAAATCAAGCAATTAGTCACGTGATGGTGTGATCTCTCGGGTTCAAATCCTGGTTTTTAAGAAAGATAATGTGGTCGATAAAATATTTTGAAAAATGGAAAATGAATTCCTACCAGGAAAAATTGTTTCTCCGGCCTTCCATAGTTTCTCTCCTTGGGGACCTTGAAGGGGGAGCAAATTAAGAAAAGTAAAGTTTTAGTGTGGGGAGCAGACATAAGTAAAGTTTTAGTGTGGGGAGCAGCCAAAAGTAAGGTTTTAGTGTGGGGGGTGGGGGTGGGGGGGGGGGGGGAAGCAGACAAAAGTAAAGTTTTAGTGTGGGGAGCAAAGGGGAAAGTTTTAGTATGGGGAGCAGACAAAAGTAAAGTTTTAGAGGGATATAGACAAATAAAGAAAGTAAAAATCTAGCGTAAGAGTGTGTGATAGGGGTTGAGTACTCACAAATACAAATTAAAGATTGTGTGTGAGGGGGACAGACAAATTGTGGATTTTTAGATTAGGGGAACAGCCAAAGTAAGGAAAAATAATGTCTTAGGGTTGGAGGGGGGGGGGGGGTTGATGTGGGGGTTGGTGTGGGGGTAGAGTGGACAGACGCAAATTGCCAAACGTTGAGAAGCGCGGGAAAGAATTAAACAATTTTGTGATATTAGTGGCGCAGGGGGGGGGGGGGAGGATTGTCAGTCAAAACGGAACATCACAGGGTAAGTAAATGAAAGCAGCTGTAATATAATTGTTGTAATATGTCTTTGGAATATACGTTAAATCACAATTAGAGTGTGTGCTAACCTTATAAAAATAAGTTAATTTGTGATTTAAATGTCATTTACTTTATTTTAGCTAAGAATTGTTTTAAACATTCTACACACCTAGATGGGTAATATATTAATAATATGTTTAGTTTAAGTAATATACTCTAAACATTCAGCTTTATATTCGTAACTTCATATTAAAAACTTTCAGTTTTGGAGAATTTCGTGGTCAGAGATTAAACCCTACACAACAACTTTGGTACTTAATGTTCTCATATGTGAGCTACAATCTTAGCACATGGCTACTTTTAATAACCTTGCACGAATTCCCGAAAACATTGGAAACTAATTTTATACCTACAAGAATTCCCGAAAACATTGGAAACTAATTTTATACCTACAAGAATTCCCGAAAACATTGGAAACTAATTTTATACCTACAAGAATTCCCGAAAACATTGAAAACTAATTATATACCTTACACGAATTCCCAAAAATATTTTCAAATATTTTTCACCATAGGCCCTACATGAATTCAGGTAAACATTCGAAACTAATTTTAAATTTACATTAAGGAATGACAACTTAGGTAACTAATGGTATGCTTAGCACTGATTAAAGGAATGATTTTTTAAAAAAAATCCACGAAGTTTTGTAGAAAACTTAGCTGCGGCCAAATGTTGCCTTAAGGGCGTCACGTAGCACAGGGACGGGTTGATTGTATGTTTTTGACGTAGTTCTTTATGAGAGAGAGAGAGAGGGGGGGGGGGGGCAAGATACGGGTGAAAAGTTTTTATTTGAAAAATATAGTAAATGTAATAAGACAGGTTAATATTGGTTTAATATGTTGTCAGTTTGTTGGTGGTGGGTAAGAGGTTGTCTTGCCTTTTCTGAAGTGAGGTGTTGAGGAGAGGGGGAGGAGGTAAGACCTCATTTATGGACTGCACCTTATCTGTGCCTTATAATATTATTTAACAAGACAATAGGCGAATATAGCACGTGATTATTGGAGGGGGGGGGGGGGGAGGGCGTGGTGTTAAGATTTATATGACTGTGTAAATGGAATATAGCCCCTATTTAGTTGTTGCCGATATGTATACTACTATTTCATAAAGAAGTTTTAACTCCAAAAAAAAACCCATTTCAATTGAATACACAAACATTACAAAAAGTTTTTTTTATCAAATGCTTAAGTATTCCACTGATAGAGCCAGTTCGAGGTCGGGCACACATTATATAAGTTAAAGAAAACGAGACATTTTTACACACCCGGGGCAATATAAAGTTATAAAATATCTCCATAGGCCAACACTTGTAACGTTAGATAACACTTCTGAACCCGCCCCCCCCCCCTCCCACACCATCGCTACGGTTAATTTTTACCCACACACTTAAAAGTTAAAGATGGTGTTATGTCAATAGTTGCCACACACTCCCTCACAAACACCACCCCACCCCTACCCCCACCCCACCCCCAACCCTAACATTATCAGGATACAATCGACTGCACTGCCAAGTAATAGTTACAGCTTGTTAAAAATAAAAACATTCAGTTGATCACACGTTTAGCCTACTTTGATTCAGTTTATATCACCATAGTATGCATTGTGTGTGTGTTTTTTTTAAATAATATAGATTTCGTTATTATTTATCCTAAACTGTTTGAAATAATAGACTGAATTTCAGATATGTAGTAATGACCTAACTGTATTATAGAATTCATTCGAGTATATTTAAGCATCAATTTCAAATGTTTTTTTTAAAATATGTATTGTTAGTCAATGGTTTCTTTAAAAAATTTCATTTATATTTGTTTAACTTTTTTTCAGTATTTAATTTGTTAAATCTGGCATTATTTAGAATTTCCTTGTACTCAAGTGTATAGTGAAAACATAATCTAAAATATGCATCTGATTCAAGTGTTTAGATATTTGTTGATATTAGTTGATATGTATTGATGTTAGTTGACATTTGTCGATATAAGTTGATATTTATTGATATGAATTGATATTTGTTGAAATGAACTTGAGATCATATTTATTTACATAACTACCATGATAATTAAAAAGATAATATAATAAAGAACGAGATTTTGCTTGATTACTTAAAGAACTGAGCACTTATTGTGTGTAACAAAGAGGGTGGGGTGGTATATCAATTGGTTACATTGTGTTATATATTGTAGATGTGATGTTAATTTTTATCACTCTTATAAGTTATTGGCTGAAACTGAGTCTGGAATTTCGGATAGTAAATTCATAGTTTGATACTAATGGTCTATAAATTATTAATTTTAAAAACAATAGAAGTATTTCTTTAATGAACATTAAGGGGCGGGTAGTAATTAGAAATCTTGTACATTGTGAGGGGGTGATCGTTTAATGAAATGTGTAATTATGCTATTTGGGGAAGGGGATTGGTAATAAATATCCATTTCTGTGTTATAAAATGACATTCACTACTCATAAACATGTTAGCTTGAACTAATGTTAGGCGGAAGATTGTCGCTGGGGACTAAACAACGCCCGAAATGTTAATTGTAATGCTTTAGTGGATCTCACGCTCTAGTACTCACTGCAAGTCATTTAATGATGTTCTTTAATTCTGTTTTAATTTGTCTAATTGTGATAGATCTATTTTGCTAACAATACGATTACTGCCGTATAAACGTTTTAATATAGAACAATTTCTGATGTACAAGTAAAATATACTAAAAATTCTAAATTCTGAATGCTATAAAATAATTATCAACGACTATTAAAAATACTAGCGCATTAAATTTGTATCATTTTCATAGAACCGTGTTTATTAGAGAACAAAGCAGGTAAAACATGCACGCAAATTAATTTTTTTGGGGGGGGGGGGGGGGGATTCTGTTGATGGAATGGTCACTCACATTATGGACAATACTGACTGGACCTTTATGGTCGCTACATACGTCACTTCCGGTGTTTATGTTAGTTTAGTAAAGAATGCCATGCTATAGTAAACAAAACAAAAGTTTAGCTTGCAATAACCAGTTCTTGTGTCTGTTGTTGCTTGCACTACTACACTATCGAATCTAAGAGGGTGATAGGCTAGTCACCCCCATCCCCGGGGTATTGAGGGTCGGGTGGTATACAGTCACTAGTCCCTACCCCCCACCCCGGGTATTTATGTTCTCCAGTCTCCTAGAATCGATGGTCGAGGGGTATAACAGTCACACTACGCGATATAAACAAGCGAGAGAGCCATACCTTTCTGGTTCGAATCCTCGTGATATTGACTTACAATAAAATGAATTAGATGGGAGAAGAGATGGACAAGATATTAGTGGAGGCGAGAAGCCTAGGGTAATTATCCCAAAGATCAGTTAACTTCCCGTTCGTCTATGTTTATGTAGGTATATACAGATGTTTAGAAACATGATCACGAAAAGACAAAAACGAAAGAAAGATTGATGAGAGAAATACTAGGAACTTACCATTGAAGTCCGGGTAATACATAGCAAAAGCCGTTTTGTCACTTTGGTTGGGGGTCGTCTAGTAGCCGGAGTTTTTTCAAGCGCTGAATTTCCGACTGGTTTTTGTTTATCTATGTTCTAGAATCTAGTTCTTTTCAGGTGATGTTTATCCGATTTTGTTGAATATTAGAGTGAATACGGAAAACATAAATCCTGTGGAAATTATCCGGATCATGAAGAGTCAGGTAAACTTGAGTTTTGTAGTTGTCCGTTTTTAACGATTGAGTGGTGATCGTTGAACGATTGAGTACTGATCGTAGTTGAGGTGACTTAATTATTAGGTTTATTACACAAAGTTGTTTGTTTGAAAAGGTGTCATTGGTTTCTGCGAGTAAGACGCGTTATGGTACCTTTCATTTAAAATATTGTGTACCGTCTAATTAAATTAAAGCCGATCATTAGCCATCATAAACATTTGAAGATGAGAGGTGCTTGTGATAAGCTAATGTTAAATTTGGGATCGGTGTGTGGGAAGGGGAAAGGGGTGTCTGTGTGTATGTATGTGTATGTATGTATGTATGTGTATGTATGTATGTATGTGTGTGTATGTATGTGTGTATGTGTGTATGTGTTTGTATGTTTGTGTGTATGTATGTGCGTGTATGTATGTATGTGTATGTATGTATGTGTTTGTATGTATGTGTGTATGTATGTGTGTATGTATGTGCGTGTATGTATGTGTGTGTATGTATGTGTGTATGCATGTGTGTGTATGGGAGGGTTAATCTAATAGACCCACAACGGGGATGCTAACACACCGGCTTGTGATAATTGATACAGCAAATGTCTAGCTCGGCACAACGAAATTACAGCTAACAAATTATGTAGAGGCCCTATACAAAGGCATATATATATATATATATATATATATATATATATATATATATATATATATATATATATATATATATATATATATATATATATATATATATATATATATATATGCCTCTATGTCTACTTTTATTTATTTTAGCATCAATTGCCGTTTAGACAATAATTCATGGACATAATATTCACATTGTAAAATTGTTTTTTTACATTCCAAATTCAGTTTTGAGAAAAAAGAAAAGCTAAAAATTCTCGCACATATATCTTTGTTTACGTAGATCTAGATAAACATTACCAACAAATCTATCTGAAATATTCTAATCCAGGAATTATCGAGTTTGAAACAGACAACAGTAGCTTAAAGCGCATCGCGATCTAAAACACAAGTTATGTACTCAAAGCCTGTAAGACACCTTCCGATTCAACACAAATCGCACACAAGTTTTAATACAATGTACCTGCAAACACATCAACAGTCCGCGGGATAGTATCACAAGACACAACTAGATCTACAACCGACGTTTGGATTTCACTTCCCGACAAACATCATGAAACCTACGGGAGGCGTGCAGGTGAATACATTTTCCCCGGAATTATTTTTTTTTTTTACTCCGATTGAGACTGGTCCGGCCCACTTCTACGCCCTCCCGAGCCTATTTTCAACACTGGAACAAAAGGATTCGGAACAGTTTTGCGGAATCGGCGAGGACTGTTCTTCGCGATGTCTGTCATTGGCTAGTCCCTGCCCACTTGCATCGGAGATCTCGCCGCTGATTGGTCGGTACGAGTCGTCGCTCGAGACCGGTGCTGCCCCCTGTGATGGCAGGCTATTTCATGAGCGCTGCGCCACAATGAACCAGCGGTCTTCGGTTGGGGTGAGCGGCAATACGGTTAGGGACGAATGTAAACTCACTCCGTGCAGTTCTGCCGTGCTAAGACTATCCGATGTCGGAAAACGATCTTGGCTGAATTCCAGTCTAGTTTAAATCCGAAATTGTTGGGGATATTTACTTTGCTTTTAAAAATGCTTAAGTCTTCTTAAATAAGGTTAGATTTTTAAATCCCAGTTCTATTTATAGAAAAAAATAGAACGTTTTATTGTGATAAAAATACATTGAAAGCTGAAGTGTAAGTCGGGAAGGGTAAGGTTTTATATAAGGGACTCATGGTGAAGTGTTTGTGCGAGTTGATGGGGTGGGAGTGGGGGGTCTGTGAGATGGGGAGAGTGATGGTAATTATAAATAGAATAGCTATCTGAGGTATAATGGTCCCAAAGCTAAACATAATTTAGCTTTTACCAAGACAGCCCTAACACAGCTGTCCCTAAACCAGCTGACCCCAACCCCACTGACCCTAACACAGATGACCCCAACTGACCCTAATATACATGACCCAAGCTGACCCTAAGCCAGGTAACCCAGCTGACCCAAAAACCAGCTGACTCTAATGAGATAATCCTTACAAAGATAACCCCAGCTTACCTTAAACCACATAGTCATAAGCCTAGTCCACCAAAATCACTATGCGGTTGACCCATAAACCATATTATCCCAGCCAAACCTAACCCAGCTAATACCCAACAGCTTTATTGTGGTTTGAATTAAGTGAACCGGTTACATGCCGGAGAAAAAATGGGGATGGTGGATGGGGAGAAATGGGGGGGGGGGGGGATGCGCTTACCTACCTTTAAAAGCCCCCATTCTAATTAATTATGAAAATTGTCATCATCTTGATTACAAACAAACCAAAATGTCATAACCAACTTGCTAGAACTAGCAAGAGCGTCATTCACCCCACCCCCACCCCCGTTCCACCAGTACCCCCCTCCTCAGGGTCTGGGCCGTAAGTGCTCAGGCCGGCAGGTCCAAGGGGGATAAACACATTTTACATGTTTTACATTTCGTCAGAGTAATGTTCTGCTTGAAGGATAGGAAACAAACCCACGTATACGAGAAGTAGGGGAAGGGGTGGAGGGGGTGGTGACGGAGGGTGGGATAGGTGATACAAACATTCAAATGACGTGTTTAATGTATGTGTATGAGGGGGGGGGGGGAGCAAGGTGAAATACCCCCCTCCCCCATCGAAATGGTTAGGTGTAGGGAGGGTGTTGTTGAGTGGGGGGGGGGGGGGAGATAAACATATAAATGATGGTTGGCAGGATAGAGTGTACAGGTTAGGGAAGGCGTGGGGGTGTGGGGGGGGGGGGGATATTGTCGGACATTGTGCATGGCCTGTTTAAACTCTTCGAGCTGACAAGTTGTTTCAAACTTTTTGGTTCTTGTGGTGGGTGATGGTGCTTTGCTGTACTAACCATCGCTTAGTTTGGGCACCAAACTTCAGGCTAATGAGCCGGCATTGTAGTTTTTTTAGCGCAATTTCCATTCTGGAGAATTGCGTTTATTAACTCGTCATTTCTGGGAATGGATGGATGGATGAATGAATGAATGGATGAATGTGTGTCCGGGCTTTAAGTCGTATCTCCTCCTCAACGAAGCAATATCGATGACTAGTTCCAAAAGCAATTATGTTAAGCAAGTTACAAGAATGAGCATAGGCCATAAAAATTCCGGGTTTCTTTCATGTATTTCCCGTAAAAGCCAAAAAACCTCGAAAAAATTCAGTTTTTGGCCCATATCTCGGCAACCAGACCACTTAGCGACTTGAAACATGTACCAATCGATTTCTGCCATAATTTAGAACAATATTGCCGAAGAAAGTTTTCAAAAATATCCTCTCGTTCGGTCACAAATTTTAAAATTACATAAACACCTACAAACCGATCGCTCTTCTAGCTTGAACGCACCCCATCATTATACGTCAGAGCTATTTTTAGATAACATAAGGAAATTGCGCATAAATGTCACTAGACTTTTTAGCGCAATTTCCATTCTGGAGAATTGCGTTTATTAACTCGTCATTTCTGGGAATGGATGGATGGATGGATGAATGTGTGTCCGGGCTTTAAGTCGTATCTCCTCCTCAACGAAGCAATATCGATGAATAGTTCCAAAAGCAATTATGTTAAGCAAGTTACGAGAATGAGCATAGGCCATAAAAATTCCGGGTTTCTTTCATGTATTTCCCGGAAAAGCCAAAAAACCTCGAAAAAATTCAGTTTTTGGCCCATATCTGGGCAACCAGACCACTTAGCGACTTGAAACATGTACCAATCGATTCCTGTCATAAGTTAGAACAATATTGCCGAAGAAAGTTTTCAAAAATATTCTCTCGTTCGGTCACAAATTTTAAAATTACATAAACACCTACAAACCGATTGTTCTTCTAGCTTGAACGCACCCCAACATTATACGTCAGAGCTATTTTTAGATAACATAAGGAAATTGCGCACAAATGTCACTAGACTTTTTTAATTAACTTGTTTAATTAACTTGCGCGCCTACTGAACGTGATGGCGCAGCCATGGAACGCGATGACGCATCTATTGAACGTGATGACGCGTGTGGTGTGGTTGTATATACATGCCGGAAGTAGAGATCTATCATCTTAATGATTATCATGTTGATAATCAAGTTCAACTAACCAATGGTTTTAATAACCCTGCTCTTGATTTCAAGGTGCTTAGTTTAGTTAGTAGTTAGGTTTATTTAATAAAAAACGTTTTAATAACTAACCAATGGTTTTACTAACCCTGCTCTTGATTTACGCTACGACAGAGCTATTTTTAGATAACATAAGGAAATTGCGCTAAAATTGTCACTAGACTTTTTAATTAACTTGTTTTTTTCATGTTTCAGCCAACATTTGGTGGCACGTGAACTCACGGGGATAATCATAATCACAAAGCGTCTCGTTATTTAAGTGCTCATCGCAGGAGTAGTTTCGGGTGAGGGACCATCTCCTAATTCTAACACTTAACATACTATAAAAGGCCCGGTTCAATTCGTCAAAACATCGGGTTTGGCGAAGTAGAGTTCGACTCCTTCTGCTTCCTCTGCCAATGGAGGGGTAGTGTGGTTAACCCTATGTCCAGCAGCCTTGACTGAGTGGACTCAGTGACGTTCTACGGACTGAGCCCGGTCAGCACGTTATTTTTTTTTCAAATTGTAAAATAGAAAGGTTTAATTCCAATTGTAAAATTATAATTTCTACAATATAAGGTCTAATTCTAACTGTAATGGCTAAGTCCAACCTGAGGGTATGATTCTCACCATTAAGTTATAATTTCCACTATAAAGTAAAAATTCCCGTTATAAAGGTCTAATTCCCACCATCAGGGTAAAATTCCAACCTTAATAGCAAAATTCCACACTAATGACATGATTCCCACTATAAAGGTCTAATTCCTCCATAAAGATATAATTCCCAATAAAACGCTTTAATTCCCACTATGATGGTATAATTCCCACCATAAAAGTATAATCCCCACTACCAATCTTCCTCCACCCAATCCCGACTACCACGCCGCCG